GCGTTGATCCATGCAGCCTTGATGATATTAGGAACAATCCTCCGAATACGTATGACAGCTCCACAGAGGCTCCAACCCTGGAGGAATATAAGAGCATTAACAAGAGTCACATCAACATCAAGGACTCTAGAACAAGCCATCCGGCTTCTTTTCTCTCTCTTACTGGCTATGAAGACAAACTGGTGCTCGATGCACATTACGAGATAGTTCGCAATAGGATGGCCGGTGTTAACGAGAAGAGAGAATACATTGAAGGCTCAAACCCAGACAGCGTATCGCTAAACCTAGTGGTATTCAACTGGGGAAATATGGATCGAGCGCCGGTGCCCGCAGGGAATCCCAAAAAGAAGCTCAAACCTGAGAAGGGATTCGATTATCACCCTCTTATTGACATGTGCTTCAACAATTCAGCTCATATTACCCTCGTACTCGAGGCAGGAGCACTTGCGTCAGAGTATTCGATCGCAACCATGCGACAACATGAATACAGGGGGATGCTAATCCATTCTCCTCCCAAGGAGCCTGAGGCACCCTCGATGTATATTGGAGTCAAGGGTGACCCAACAACAGACATCGCTCTCGTCCACCACTTTTACCGTCATCGAACAATGAAGCCTAAGAATGGTGGTCCCAAGAAGCGACTGTGGGCATGCCACGGTGCGGTATGCCGCCTCACCTTTGGGTACCACAGTACCATCCAGAGGCAAAAGAATGGGTCCACCCATATTCTGGCCAAAGGATGACGAGAGACGAGTTCATGCAGATTATCGGATATGACCCACTCAAGGGCAAAAATCCTGACAAGGATGGACCCACTGATGGCTCTTACCTCTCACCAGAGGCGTGCCTGACACTGTCGAACCTCGACCCCTCGCCGATTCTCTGTGAATGGAACGGCCATGTCGAGGGTGATGAGCCACCAGAGGAAGACTTTGAGTCATACGCAGAGATCTTCTCACAAGAAGCATCGAACGATCTTGACGAGATGTGGTGTACAAAAGGGCCTTACAAGGTCATCACCATCGCGATCGTCCATTTCAACTCATTCATGACTCATAAGGAAGAACAGAGACGCGAACTGGTGAACGCGTTCCTCAACGAGATTCTCCCTTTTAAACCGGATGTAATAGCGGGAGATCTCAATAATATTGCGTCGAGGCTCACCTTAAAAGGTGGAGACGTTCACCCGCGAAACAGTTTGTTTTCTCTATACCTGGAGAAGAAACTTGCAGCATTCAACAAAATAGCAGGAAGGCACTCACAAGTGCGACATCTTTGCTTGAACAACTCCGACCAGCACAGACTGGCACGTGCAGATCGTCTACCGGCGGACCCGGCGAAGAAAGTTGCTGACCTTGACTGTATCAACAGTTATATCCTTGACTGGAGTAAAACGCCGCACACGGCGTCACCTAGTCCAAGAGATGTTACACCTGCCGCCGAAAGAACATACTGGGAGCGAATCTCAGATATGTGGCAGGACATGAACAATAACAGGGATATTGATATCCGTCTGTTTGTCTCAGTCAAGCAGTACTATTCAACTTTTTCTAACCTTGACCTATGGTTGAGTCCCTCTGACAAAGATTGGCACAGCCCTTTGGGCTTCACGATACAACCAATCCTTACAAAAGGGAAACACAACCGGTCAGATGCCCAGGTCCAAAAGATCGCTGACAAGCGAAAGGCTTACAAGCAGCGTAATGCTGAATACTGGGGTTACAACGATTCATTCGTTTACTCATCCGGCAACAGCTGGTACGACAAATCGCAACCATCAGGTAGCCATCACAGATATGGAAGATTCTGGGAGTGGCCACAGCCTGAACGTCCCAGCGAGCCTGAAGGTCCTCCTCCAAGAAGGAACCAGGAATCATCGTCCTCTTCACAACAAGATCTACCAAGATCAAGGTCCAGGCCTCAAAGAACCAATATTGTTGACAAGCTCAACATGTCTTTGGAAGAGCTGGACGGACTAGAAGAAGAACCGTCACCAACAAAAAGTGACATCGAAGAACACGAAAGAGAAACATCAAACTTGATGTCTGCTCAGAGAGATGAAGAGGAACAAGAGGACGAATCCTCCAGCCGGAGGAGAAGAAGGAAGGCATCGCGTCCACCGTCTGCTCCGAGCGGCAAGGCACTCAGAACAGCTGCTACAGCAGCGGGGTTGTCGGGCTGGTTCGGACACCGCAACCGAGGTGGAGCGAACGCAGAGTCTATCAAGACTGATGAAACTTCACTTCCAAACTCACTAACCAGTGAGCAGGACTTCTCCGTCTTCAGCATCGCGTGGAATGTGTTTCTGCTGCTAATGGGCTTACACTGGATGTGGAAGCAGATTACCAGGCCTCCTATCAGATGTATGGAGCGCCAACAGCCAAAATCAAGAGCAGCAGCGAACCAAAGGGTTCCATTCCTCGAACCCGAGGATGAACCGCAGACACGTGAACCTTTAGGACCCAACAGGGTCAATTCCGGAGAAACAACTGATCTGCGACCTATCTGGCATACTTCCCGAAGCGAAGTCTACCATCTCTCAGACAGCTGTTATCAGCTCAAGCAAGCAAGAGATGTTTGCAGGAAGGTGCTGTGCAAAAACTGCCTCCATGCAGTACAAGTTGCGGAGATTCGCAGGAACGATCCTTTCCAAAGAGGTGATACACGTCCACGTGGCACCGAAAGAGACATTGAGCGCTTCCAGACCTACGATGATGCAAGTACCACTCCTCATATGACGCAATTATTCAAAGGATGCCTTGCATGCACAAATGGCCGAAGAAGCCATGCAGATTACCTATACATCGATCCCCAAGGGATCCTCGGCAAAAGCCAAAGGTACATCTGCACTCTCAAGTGCCGCATCGTCATCAGCGCCCAAGGCAATGCCACCAGGGCCTAACAAGGCAAACATGTCACCTCCACCTAAGAGTCCTCCGTCAAAGGCGAAAGGAACAGTACCTTCAGATCCTCCGAGACCAAAAGGTCCTACCAGAAGAGGAGGTCAAAATCGGCGCATTCAACGAAAGGCAGCTAGAGAAGCCCACAACAGTGGACTCTGCACCTATGCAGACGCTGCACTTAACGAAGCCAATCAAGGCCAGGCAATTAACGTTACGTGCCGAAACATGGCAGCAAGACACGTCAGCTCTATCGATGCAACGGTAGAAGCAGCCGGCCAGTTTACACAACGCGTGCTACAGCACGTAGAAACATATGATGAAGAGGAACCGTGGAGCACGGAGTTTCTACCAGTCGTGGAAGTCCTATTCAGGAACTTAAGCGGCGACGAAACAACTGTCATACATGACAATCAAACGGTAACTATGCCTCTTGCGAAATACACAGACCTCCTCAGAATCGCACAATCATTGCGAAGCTCTATCCAGAGAGACAAGGAGGAAAGGAAGGAACATCTTGACACCATCCAAGATACTCTATCCAGAGTGGAAATCCTTCTAACAGCACTGAAGGACTCAAGGACAGTCTTTAACCAATTGGTCCATTCCTCACTAGAGATAGAGCGAAGAAATAACAATCTCAAAAATGTCCTCGAGACACTCTTTGACGACCAAAGCTCTGAGGAAGACCAGTCAGAATCTGACAATGAAGAAGTCCTAACTCCTTCTGCAGCACAGTATTGGAATAGCCTTTATGCCCACGCCTTATCTCCTTCAGGAGATGAAAGTGAAAGATCATGGGCGTCCTCAGACGGACAGCTTGAAAGAAGAAGGGCTGAACGGGCAAAGGCTAAGCAGCCACAACCGGCTAAAGCCAAGGCAACTCCAGTCAGCTCACAAGCTGCGCCAAAGGCCGAGCCAAAGACGACAACATCCAACCATGGATATGATACTGCAGACGCCGCCTTCACCAGGGCTGAGAACAGATTACTCGGAATCTTTTCAAGTTCCGAAGAAGATCACTCAGACCCGGATGAGCCACATCCGAACGTCTATGCTCGAGCCTATGATCCAAACCTGGATCCGAATCTGAGATAAGAAAATTCTCAGAGTTTCACAACAGTGATTCACAAGGCTCTAACAAGAGCACAATGAAGGGCTGCATAATTCGGTAGAAGAACATTACCAGACCTGATCCTGTACAGATGATCTCTCTGACCAACATGCATGAGTGTGTGCAAAAGGAGTGACCTCAACAGTGTACTTCAGTGCTATACCTAGCATAAACAATATGCTGTTTTTATCATGAGTCCAAACTCCGCAACTGTGACAGTGGGCATAATAGTATATGTGTGAATGTGCGGCCATGCTTCCGGTAAAAGAAAATTAGTGTCTGTTTGAAACCATAAACCTCTAAAGGGGTAGCTCTAACAGGTACCTACAGCAATGGCTGCATGCTCATACATATACATTCCGCTGCCCATTGGCTCACAGTGGTTTTACCATATTGAGACAAGACAAGCTCTCCTTGCGTAGCAAGACAAAACAACTACTGTCCGTGTGCAGGGCGCTGCCCTTTGATCCTTAGGGAATAACTGGTCATACACCTCCTTACAAGGAGTATTCCTTGGGGGTGTATCGGCACAGGGGGAGAGGGGGGAGAGGGGGAGAGGGGGGAGAGGGGGGAGGGGGGAGAGAGGGAAGAGGGGTGCTGCACCGTCAAGCTCCTGTTCGTTTCCACGTTTTCTTCGCCACTGTACTGTTGTTCTGGCCTCTGGCGGCTGGAGGGTCGGATGGCTCCGCAGGTTTTCTGGAGTCTCCTCGACGGGCTTACATTCAAGCTTTCAGTTTTTCGCTTCAACTCCCAAGCTGCTGCTAGTCTGCAGGTCACATATCTTAAAACTCAGAGCCAAGGCTTCTGCAGAATATGTGCAGCATGATGAATAACAGGCAGCCTTAAGCAACACTGCCTCTGGCTGCTGTTGCTGCAGATCGGGATTGCAGGTCGATGGTGCCTAGAAGTAAGAGCCTGGACCTCTGATCCACCACGGCAAACCCTTTTGCACAGCCCCCCCATCCCAAACTGACGTAATTCCGAGCCTTTCTTGGCAGCGTCTGCTGCCCTGCGCGGACAATGCTGCCCAAACTTTTAAGGGCGTTCCAGGTATCAGCATTCAGTGGTGTTCTTCTTGGTCGCAACGGATCGCGGGAGGTCCAGTAGCATAGCTGCTTCAGTTCAAGGCTAAGGACTGAGTTCTGGTACAAGTCAGGCATTGGAACATCTTCTTGAACGACAGGCAAAATACCAATGAAGAACCATTGTCAATCATCACCCGCAAATGTACTTGCCAGCTGTAAAACCTATGATCCGATGAGATATATCAACTCAGGAGCCTTCGCTTGAAGAGGTGGAACGCCGCCAAAGCTCCCACCGAGCCGTTAGGTTCCTGCGATGGGGGCTTTGTGCTGTCGGTCAAGTTCATCAAAACTGGCAACTGGAAAATGAAAACACGATTCGCTGAAGATTCGTATACTTGCCAAGCAAGAAAATTGGCACTTTATTCACAGCACAACTGCTGTGTTGAGTATGGTGCCTATAAGCACAATCAATCATGGTCATGATTACGCTGAGAAAACTGATAACTAATAACAGATAGCAAATAATACCAACCATTGAATCAGAATCAGAATCTTAACAGTAACGACGGCAATGAAATTGCGAACACCTGGGGGTGGGCAAAAACTCAGGACGTCCTTGTCGTCGTCTGGTTAAGGCTGACTTGAAGTCCCATGCGTGAGTTCGTACCAAGCCCTTTGCGTCCGAACCTCTTCCAAACTAGTGACGCCAAGAAAAGGCCCTGAGCATGAACCATTCCAATCCTCAGCCAGCAAACCAGGACCAAAGCAGGCAATTTCCGCACACGCCGAAGCCAAAAATACTGAGCACCTCAGCGACATCACCCTGGCAGCCTTGGGAGAACTCGTGGGCGGCGCCCTTCTTGGCATAGCAGGAGGGATGGTGGTCGTCCTCTCTTCGTGCGTGGGCCGCCACTCACAAACCGGGAAAACACAACCTTTTGCAAGGAGATACTACAAGCAAGAAGCTTCTGCCGAAATGTTTCCTCAAGCAAAAAACACCGTCAACAGCTCTCCGAATTCAAGCTGTCACAGCCTTATTGCCTGAGGTTGAAACATGCTTCACTTCGGAATTAATACGAAAATCCTGTGCCCTCTCCTTGACGGGGGTGCAAACGAGGCCTTTTGCAAAGGCGGCTCTTCCTGATGACGCATGGATGCCACAGGAAGTGCCAAACGACCAATCACCGAGGCTCCGAAAAATGCCCGAAAAATCCATGCTGCAACACCCCAAGACCGAATCGGCCTCTTCAGGAGGTGGCTCACTGTCTTCGCCCACCGCCTCCTCACCCAGTTCCCGTTCGTCTTCCTGAAACTCCTCACCTTCCCACGGCTGGTCTTCAGCCTCACCCGGGACTTCGTCAATCTCTTCTTGGCGCTGTTCCTCGCCAGACACATATATACATATGCGGCAAGGACCTCTATGTATTATATATGTATTTCATAAAGTGTAGAACGTTTTATGTGTGTTTATTTTTTCGGTTTTAGGTTTAAACTAAAATGAAAAGGGATTCAGCATGTCAGGGTGTTAGGGCTTGCAGTTTTGGGGCTGAAGTTTTGGACTTGGAACGCACAGCTGGGGCTGCTTGACTGGTCCAGAGCTTTGGGCATGGAGGGGATCGGATTGGCTTGAGCCTCGAAGGGGAAAGGATGCTGAAAATGCATGACGATGTCCGACTGAGTGCATCAGGGCTTTGGAGTTTGAGGTTTGGGTTCTGAAGCTTATTGCTTAAAAAACTCTGTCCGTGGGAAAACTTAGGTTCGAAACACTTCTAAGTCCTACTTTAAACCCCGGCCCCAAACCCTAAACCCACCGCCCTCTCCCTTCCCCTCCTCTCGCTGCTCAAGTTCGTCCGCGAATTCTTGATCCCAGACCTGTTCAAGCTTCGGAAGCAGGAAAGCGTGAATGTAGGGGACTTCCGAAACCTCCGCCGTCGCTTCTGTGGAATCCTGACAGGGAACGCGCAGGTTGCCAACCTTTCAGTGGGTTCGGCATGCGATTGCTCCAACTTGCCCACAACAAACCCAACTGTTTGTGCACAGTGTTTGTAGCGCGTTGGTTTTGAAGAGCAGTGGGCTCACCTCCATCCAAACGGCTTCGTCGTCATCTTCCACCTTCATGTTTCCAGCACATTTGGAAACTGAGGCTTTCGGCTCCACGGCTCGTCTTCTCATGCAAAAGTACACAGGGAAGCCAACCAACATCCAACACTCGCCAAATCCCACTGTGGCTTGGCTCACTCTGACCGAACTTGCGCGATTACTTCAAAAAATGCTCTTTCGGGGAACTTGCGCCCACCCCGCGCACATGCAAGCTGGATCCAAACCCTGGCCTCCACGACGTCGTAGGCCTGTGTGCAGGATACGACTTTGTTCATGCGGCACAACACAGTTCAAAATTTGGGAAGCTGCTCTGAAGTGATTCAAGCACCCTGCATTCATGCCACTCACAGCGGCAGGCGGCCGGAACCTTCTTCCATGGCCGAAGTTTTCGAGCTGTTCTGTGATCACTCGGCGATGGTTGCCGACCTTGGGCTGAGCAAGATTACTTGCATCCCGCTATGTGTTGCGGCAAGTTTAAGGCATAAAATTGTTTGGGGCCGCTTGTGCGGGTCTGTGTTCGTTTGTAACCTAGTGCACGTAGTCCCAAGTAGAGTGTGTAGAGTAATCACAGGAACACATGAAACATGTGTGTGAACCGCGACACGAAGGCTTAAGCAAGTCAGCCCGCGAAGTGAGAAAAGTGTGTTTGCGAGTAGAGTGGGAAGGAAGGCTTGAGAAGCCTTTAGTTTCAACATGGTAGCGGAGCTCCCTGATTCAGACCTCTTGGGAGCGATGAAGCTATCACAGGAACAACAGGTAGCTGTCGCCATGGTTTCCTTGGCTTTGGCTTTTTCGCTGATGTGTCTGGCGAGAAGCTTTGTGAAAGAACTTGTGAGAAAGGAGACGGTGGAGCGCGTTGCTCCGGCTGAGGAAGAGCTACCAGAACTCTGGTACTCGCCTTACGGAGAGAAGACCCACGTTTCAGGAAGATGTCATGGCCTCAGGAACGCAACCAGTGTACACCGAGTACTACCATGCAAGTACTGCTGCCCCGGTGGACTTCGATCCCGGGAACAACGCACCTTCGAGTACAAGAGAACCTTTTTGGAAGCAGCAGGAAAGTACCTTTGGCTAAAAGTCTTCATGGTTGTGGTTCTCATGGGCATGTCATGGTTCATGGTGTTTGAAGTGAACGAGACCTACGGCTACCCGTTGGCCACGAACCGCATGCTGAACTACAGGAACAAGGTCCTCAGCCTCGACAACAAGAACCCCAAGAAGAAGCATGTGATAAAGGAGATTACCCCAGCGGATGTTGTACCTGCCGGGAAGAGCCAAGAAGGTGATCACACAGAACTTTTCACGTTGTGGTCGCATCTACATGAGCCCAATACCGAACCGAGAACGAGAACGAGATCTACGTCACGAGCTACCTCAAGAAGACGAACGCGTACTCCGAGTTCTACAAGAACAAAAGAAAAAGAACAAAGTTGCAACTACAGTTTTCATGAAGGTGATGTCGCGGAGTATAACGAGAACCTAAAGAACGAAGAAGTGCCCCACGTGAACTACTACAAGAACCTTGTGTTTGAATTGGTTTTGGAGTTTCAAGAGTACCTTGCGAAAGCAGGAAGAAGCCTTGAGCCCGTCGTGAGCTACGTCGCGCGCACGTGTCACCCAGTACTACTTCTACTTGGGACCCCACTTGGTATGGTCACTTGGATCTACCTCTATTTTTGGGTCAGAGTTAAGCAAACAAAAACAGAACAGTTGAAGAAGAAGGTTTCGAGAAGGAAGTTGCACAGGTCAGTTTCCAGCGTTCTTTTCAAGAAGCGAGTCTGGTTGCATGTTGTGTTGCTTTACAGTCACATGCAGAGTGCAGTTGCAATGGAGGAAGCCTTGCAAAGGCTTACGGACCTCACTGCCCAAAACACACAGCAGATACAAGCACTTGCCCAAGCAATGAGCAGTCAGCAAGTACAGGCAGGTACCGCTTCACAACAACTACAGGAACTCGCGCAGTCAGTTTCACAACAGCAGAGAGCAATTACGGAAGCTACCCAAGCAACCAACACAGCATTGTCACAACAAGCAGAGCTTACTGCAAACGCGGTTGCAGCAACAGGAAAGCATACAGCAGACGCAGTTACAGCACTGTCGCAGCACGCAGAGTCAAGAAGGCCAGGAGAGATCGACCTCCACAAGATGATCAAATCTCCAGAAGTCTTTGGCCCTACTACATACAAGGAAGAGCGTGATGGTTTTCTAGAGTTTCGGTTGAAGCTGAGAAGTTGGATAGGCGCTCTCAACAACGACATCCTTGAGAAGATCAGCGCAGTCGAGATGGATAGAAGAGAAGCATCATGGGAATGGAGCAAACTTAACCCAGGTGAACAAGCACTCTCAAGAAAGCTACATTCCATTCTCACCAGCTATACACGTGGCCGTCCTCTACGAACTCTAAAACAAGTGCCCAACGAGAACGGCTTCGAAGCATGGAGGTTGTTGGTGGAGGAACATCAGCCTCACAACCGTGCACGTTCTCTACGGCTACTGATGGCCACAGGCAAGCTGTTTCGAGAAGGTTGGGAGTTGCGAGTGAACGAAGAAGAAGGTATGTGCCTTACAGATGGAAGCTCAAGAATACCAGTGCATCTCCACAAGAACCAAACAGCTTAGCAGCCTACGCTTACGTACAAACTCCTTCAAGAAGCAGAAGTTACAGCAGCAACAACTACAAGATGGTTCGCACAGTTGTTCAGCTTAACAAGCACGTTCAGGAAGCAGTGAACAAAGAAGAACCTGGTTGGCACAACACAGACAGCATGGTGATCGTGAAGTACGCCACTCAAAGCAGCTATGAGAACCCATCTCTCATGCCCTACGCACTTTCCGTACAGAAGCACTTTGGTGAAAGAAGAGAGTGGATGGAGAGCAGTTGAAGTTTCAAGACGGAATCGTCGTCCATGTGGTACATCGCGATCTGCCGAACTGTTGGCTTAGCGGTAGACTTCGCGCTTGTAGTTCTTGTTGTTGTGGCTGCCGAAGCGCTACTGCTTGGAACTGTAGTAGGCTGTGTTCTTCCTCCTGTGCGTTCCTGACGTTCTGCTGCATGTCTCTCTGCTTGAGTCTGCAATTGGCTTCGTAGTGTCCAGGCTTTTGGCAGTAATGGCAAACACCAATTCCTGGGTTGTTGTAGCCTTTACCTTTTCCTTTGTTGCTGTAGCCTTTTCCCCCGCCTTTGCCATATCCTCGGCCTCTGCCTTTTCCTTTTCCTTTTCCTCGTCCTTTTCCTTTTCCTCGACCTTTGTAGTAGTACTGGCTTTCTCTTTTTCCTTTGCCGAAGCCTTTGCCCTTGTTGTAATTGCCAAATCCTTTTCCTTTCTTTCCTTTCCCTTTGTTTTTTCCTTTGCCTTTATTCCACCATTCCACTCGTGAAACATCCATGTCTGCTTGTCCTTGGTGGTCCTTTCCTGAGTTGATAAGGTCTGTGGTAGTCCACCTTGCTGCTTGTTCGTAGGAGAGGAGGTACTGTCGTAGTGTTCCGTACTTTGTGGTCTCTTTCTGGTTGAGTAGAAGATGTTGTCTCATGTTCCCTTCGGTTCCTCCAAGAATGATGGAAATCTTCATGTCGTCCGCAACAAGGTCTCCACTCGCTCTCTCGTACTCTTCAATCAACTCCTCGAACTTTAGAATATTTTCTTGTGTTGATCACCGAGGCAACGGTGAAGGCTTCCTGAATGCGACAAAAGCTTCCGTCGTCATCAAAGAACGTTAAGTTCAGCATCCTTCTGCCTTCCGTCTTTATTGCCTTTCCTTGTGCGTCCTGAATGGACGAAGGGCGAACCTTTAAAGGGTTCCTTCTTTTCCTAGCCAAGAGGGCACAAGAGAAACGTCTGCGCCAGAATCCAGGATAACTTCGATCCTTCGGTGAAGATCACTCTCCTGGAAGAACTCTTCCTCTACAACGCGTACTGAGAGAACTTCTTGTGGTGGTAGTGCTTCACGTCCAAGGTACCTTTTGAAGAGTTTGCTGAAGGAGAAAAGGAAGTGGTTACAGCCATTTCAGCAAAGCCAATTCCACTTTGGATCCTTGGCACTCCTTTACGCTGCCGGAGATCGAGCAGACCAAGAACTACGAACACAGCGACGACTGGGCAGGGAGAGATAGGGTGCTGTGAGACCACCGGCAGCGACGACTGGAGAACAGACCGCCGTGGTACAACGACCAGTGGAACAACGAGAACTGGAACACCAGGTACGAGAACGCGAACCCGAACAACAAAGGCTACTGGCAGTCGCCAGAAGAGTGGGCGCAGCAGAACCAGTGGGACCAGTGGACACCCAAAGGAAAGGGCAAAGGCAAGAAGTCCAAGAACTGGGTGCAGACCCAGTGAAAGGATCCGGACCGAGAAGGGATGATCGAGCAGGTCAAGCAGTGAACGCTTGTACATATGTACATAGCTAAGCAACGTAAGACTTGATGTCTGCTAGCACAAGAATTCACGTACAAAGTGTGAGCAAATGTACAGACGTAGCAAACTGGGGCAGTAAGCCTAAGTAAGCTACAACCTTCCAAACAAGAAGTTTCACACAAGACAGGCTGGCTAGGAAGGTACAAGGGCCAGAAGAGGCAAGAAGCCGGAAGAACAAAGAGAAGAAGCCCGAAAGAAGAAAAGCCCGTAGGCTACGTAAGGGCAGAAGGAAACCGGGTACGGGCCTCCCCGCAAAGAGTCCATAGGCTGGACCTAACTAGAACGTAGATGTACATGCAGAGTAGGCTTTTTCAAGAAGGCCAATGTACAGACATAGAAGGCCTAATAGCAACAGGCAGGAGTGCAGCTAGGTAAAAGACAACAACGAAGCTCAAGAAGGGTCTCGTCTGCGCCCGAGCTGCAGTTCACAAGCTGGTGTTGCTCAAGCACAAAAGACGCAAGACACGGCTTGCACAGAATTCTCACCGGTACTATTTTCTCTGGGGCAACACCTGCTCTCGTAGTGTTATGGAAAGGAGATTGCAGCACTGTCCGAAGGTTTCCCGACGGTCTGTGCTCACCTTGGTCAACCCATCCGCATGTTGCAGATCTGTAGGGACCCCAGGAATGACTTCCTGAATTGCCCGCACGTTCACCAGCAGAAAATCGCAGAAAATCTCTAACATGTTCCGGCTGGAGACGGTTGTGGTTGATTCTCGTCGAACTGTGGTGATGACTGCCATGGCTCTGCACTGAAAGCCGTCTCTTGCTCCAACGGTGGCGCCGAGCAAAGGTCTCTGTTACCGAACGTTTGTGGTTGTAGTTGATGGAGCTAACGACGAAGCGCTCGACCTTGGACAGGTTTGCAGTTGCAGTAGAGGAGGTTTTGGTATCCTCGCCACTCAGGGTGGACTCGAACCACCACATTTTGCAGCTGCAAAGTTGTGAGTCAACACAAACGACCCAGGGTGGACTCGAACCACCATATTTTGCGGCTGCAAAGTTGTGAATCAACTTTGAAGGGCAACGCCTTATCCATTAGGCTACTGGGTCTTGTGCTGCTGAAAGACTGGGAGAAAAGTTACTCACCTCTTTTCTCCAATCGACTGAGCAGCTGCTTAACCACTAGAGTACAAATGACATCACTTGAGTCCGGTTAACAACATGTACAAAAAATCGATTTGCCCTCATATCTCCGTTCACTGTGGTTTTTGTATTGTGGCAGAACTTGGGCATTTGCGAAGAGTTTGCGCTGCGTCAGAAAATGCAGGAAATCATCAATGTGGAGATCCGTGTGCTTTCGACTTTGTACTTCTCACTTTAAGTTGTCAGAGCTGTGCGTCCCCAAACTGCTGTCGATCCGGGTGGTCGGGCAGGGAAAGATAGGGTGCTGTGAGGGACCTCCGGAGTTCTGGACTGAGTCAACGCATAAACCAAGTGCATAAACACAGAGCCAAGTGCACAAGAGCGCTTAGAGCCAAGCAACCCAATGCACAAACGCCAGCACGAAAATCTCGAGCTTTTTTTTCTGGAACCCAAATCCCACACAGGGCCTCACTGCCTTTCATCCCTCCAATCCTTGTTATCCTGTTTTTCCAAATGGACACACTGGGGATTGAGCCCAGGGCCTTCCGCATGCGGAGCGGATGTGATACCACTACACCATGTGCCCCTTGAAACATAGCACCTTCAAGGCTTCCGAACAAGTAGTAGCCCCCCCCGTCCCCTGACAAGAAACGTTGGATTGTAGGAGGTGCCCCGGCCCCGGACCCTGGCTGTGGGAAGGTGCGCGGTTCGGGCCCTGGCCCCGGCCCCGGGCCCTCCGAGGGCAGGGTTGGATTTTGGAGAACACCTTTGACGACCTGCAAATGGCTGGACGTTGAACCCCTTTTGGGTGAGACTGAATGCAGGACGCACATCAGTAGAGCTCGCCAACCCTACCCCAACCCTCCTCTGAATTTCCATCCCAGGTCTTCGCGCTTCATAGTGGTTTTGGGTTTTGCACCCTTTATCTCTAAACTCACGAAGATTTTGTTTTTGGTGTTCCCGAGCCAGGAATTAGAGGACCGGATAACCCCACATGTGAAGCTTGTCTACTGGTAGACAATCTAAAGACGCAAAACAGTGAATGAAAAAGGGAGTAAATGGATGAGTGATTGAAAGAATAAATGGGTGCTGCTGCGTGTGTGTGTGTGTCTGTGTGTGTGTGTATGTGTATATGCGACAGAGCTGAGATTGGTCGCTGGCATGTCGTTCTGCGCTGCGTGTGTGTGTGTGTGTGTGTGTGTGTATGCATGTGTATGTATGCGTGTGTGTGTGTGTGTGTGTACGTGTGCGGCAGAGCTGAGGCTGCTTCTGTGATGGGCAACTGCGCGCAACTCGGTGTTTGTGTGTCGTTGCTTGCCTGTGGTCACAAACACACACACACACACACACACACACACACACATGGCTTCCGTGCGACCCATGCCTGAACGTGCACTGTGCACATTCGCACACACACACACACACACATAAACACACACACAGACACACACACACACACACACACACACACAGACAGACATGCACACAGCACTGGCAAGTCACGGCACCAGGCTTTCGGCCGGGTTTGGTGCATGCCATTCGATTTCCTGCACATCCCTGTCCTTGTGTGTGTGCATGTGTGTGCATGTGTGTGTGTGTGTGTGTGTGTGTTTGACAGAGCTGAGGCTCTGAGCGCCACAGCGGATGGTGCGGGCCCAAGTACGGATTGATTGCATGTGTGTGTGTGTGTGTGTGTGTGTGTGTGTGTGTGTGTGTGTGTGTGTGTGTGTGTGTGTGTGTGTGTGTGTGTGTGTGTGTGTCTGTGCATGTGTCTGTGTGTGTATGAATGTCTGCTTCTGCGGCAGCGATGGCATGTCGTCGTAGGCTCCCAACCACTTGTGTCGCGATCAGTTCCGTGTGTGTATGCCTATGTGTGTGTGTGTGTGTGTGTGTCTGTGTGTCGTTGCCTGCCTGTGGTCACAAAGCTGCTGAAGTTGCTTTTGTGATGGGCAACTGCGCGCAACTCGGCTCTGCAGCACTCCAGAGATGTATGTTTGTGTGTGTGTGTGTGCCGTGAGAGTCTTTAGTCGCGGAAGAGTCTCGCCCCAGAGCGGCCCGGGAGGGTCTTTAGTCGCGGAAGAGTCTCGCCCCCAGCGCGCGCTTGGCCTTGGCCAGAGCAGGCCGGGAGGGTCTCTCGCGGCCTTGCCCAGAGCAGGCCGGGGTCTTGTGTGTACATGTGTGTGTGTGTGTCTGTGTCTGTACATCCGAGGACCCAACATTTTTGACAAATGCTAACCGGGCTTCCAGGCCGGCCTTCGAACGGGAGAGATAGGGTGCTGTGAGACCACCGGCAAGCATAATTCCTTATTATAATTATAGTAAAAAAATCTGATTCTAACCCCATCCAGCATGACGGCGGATTAGAATCGATTTTAAGTTTCCAGGCACCAAAGCAGGATTTAAATCGATGTCAATCCGGATGCAGTGCCTGGAGACTAAAATCGATTCTAAATCTTGGACTTAAAATCGATTGACGCCTTGGGCCGCCTGGCACGCCGCCTACCAAGTTCGTGCTCAAGATGGGTGAGATTCAGAACCGATTAGCTGCCAAACTGAGTAGTAGAGTCAATCTGACCCACAACTGAGGCTCGCGCGGGCTGCAGGAATCCACTTCTTCCATTTCTCGCTCTTGCTTGACACAGGGACCTTGCACAGTCACGTCAGATTCGGAACCTTTCCAGCCAGCCAGAAATCAACAACACAACAAATCCCAATTCTTGCAGTAAAGTCGCTCCATCTTCCGATTCAAAGCGTTCGGATGTTCCCGAACTTTGCGGATGATCTGGCGAGGAGATTGTGGAGTTCCACAACATATGCCAGTGGAGACCCAAATTGTAAAGACCATTCCAGAGGCAAAGTTACCGACCAGTGAGACAGTATAGCCCGCACTGGGCTGTCTACCAGTGCGATATCTTTCCGCTGATGCTGCAAGTGCTCGCTGAATTGAAGCCAGAACCGAAAGCTGCAATCCTGGACGTCCTCCGAGCGATTCTTTCACTTGACCTCGGTCGGGTCTTCTTTTTTTTTTTGGGGGGGGGGGGTTGTGTGCTTTGGCTTTTGGCCTTTTCGGTTTCCGAAAATATTTGACGTGTTCACGAGCACACAAAAAACCTGAAAGCCTGCTGCCAAAGCACCATGAAGACGGGCAAGTCGTCCGAGGATGTCCGACGCCTCAGTTCCGTCATGCTGAAACAAACTCAACTCAGATGTGAATGGTAACCTTAAAAGTTGCCGCTGAGATGGCTGTGGTGTTATGGGGTGAACTTGGGGTCTGTCTTGTCTTCGCGGACAAAACACATGGCATTGTTCCAAGGCTGCGGCACGGTGGAAGGACATACCTCACCTGACAGGTTGACATTGGTCACAAGCCAGGGTGAATGGGCTACCAAAAAGTCTGGTTCTCTTGGCATTTCTTCCATGCATCTGCGCTTACAATGGCCTGTGTGGGTCCAAACAAACTCCTAAACCTAAACACACAAGCATGTGTTGTGGGTAGGTCAGCAGTAGCAGACGGAAGCAGGCTGAACAACATTCCACTATCCTGAAAGGTTTGACCACGTGATACTTACTTCTATTGCACCTGAGAAGTCGACAAGGCTTGACTTGAATTTGGCATCTGAACTGCTGAGCGATAGGACTCCAGTAACGAGACTCTACCTTTACAGGTGAGCTAACGTAGGGTCTGGATTGTGTTGTTCATGTGTCCGGGCTTGCATGCAGCCCTCAATCCCCATGCCTTGCCGCCCTGCAGGGACGATGGTGGCGATTGAAACGGCCTGATCTGACATAGTTGTCTTTGTGCGTTTTTCGAGGGGTTCGCTCGCCGGGCGTTGTGCACGAAGCATGCCTTCTCACCCAGTTGTAAGCACTAGGTTTTCAGCAAAATCCTAAAATCTTCGGCGGTCACCACATCCTCCACTGTAGACAATCAGGGTCAGGAACGTGATCAAGGATTTGACGCTTCTTCCCTGCACAATGAATCCTTTCTTTGTGCCTGAGCATGCCAAGTCCTCTACCCAAAACTGCGGACCTTGAGGCTGTTGTGACAATATCAGCAAATTAAGTCCCCGGATGTCCAGCTCCTCCTGTGGGAAGGAAGATCGGAATCTGTAAAGAGTGGTTTTGCAGCTTAGGCGTCTTAATCCTATGGTTGATTGGGCTTGCGCGAAAACGAGCTGTTGCCAATCAAGTTTTGCACGTTGGGTTTGAGGATGGCTGTTTTGCACAAGCTAAGCGCCCTGAGCGCCCTCATGCAGCACCCTCATGCCCTCCACAGGAGGCTGTCGGGCCCGCGTTCTACCCTAACCTACTAGGTCCATGAGCCTTTGAGTACCTTGTGCAGTTGAAGCCCCAAAGAGTCGAATTCCTAAACCTTGATCCAGTATCCCCTGTGACCCAGGGCTCCCTGCTTGGTATTGGGTAGCATTTTAAGGAACCTAAACCCACAAAACGGTAAAAAGGGCCCACTTGGAGACCTAGTTTTTACAAGCCCTGCTACACCCTAAACCCGAGACCTTAAACCCTGCACCTTTTGAAGAGGAGAGGACATAAACGAACTCGCGACTCTAGCCGACAACTTAGTGGCCGAAAGTTGTAGTCGCGACAGTGGTTGTGTAGCAGCTGTAGTATTGGCAGCAGCAGTGGTTGTTGTAACAGAAGCACCTGGCAGATTGGGAGCTTTAGAAAGCAAGATCTGTAATGGCGTTCTGTTGCGATGAACAGACTCTGGCGATGTTTGTGCATACCCAACTATTTGAAAAGGAAATCCTGGCCGCCTGAAGATTCGGACCAGCGCAGGTAACTTCATCTGTTGAGAGTGTCTACATGGCTGGCCTAGGGAGTGTTGGGGCTCAAGCGTGCGCTCGTTGGGTAGGTTCTTTTGGAGTGCCACTACGTATTCCAGCAAGGGGTTGGTGCTTTCAGCCCAACTTGAGCATGGAAGAAGCATGCTTTGCTGATGTCTCGTGTTGTGCGCTTCAACACCTGTTGCGGCGCCGGGGCTGAAGATTGTAAGTTTAGTGTCGCAGTCTCTAAGATTCTTACATTTTGCAGAGTTGTCTGGGGTCTCAAGCCTGACAATGCTGGTGGTTGGACTCTAACATCATTTTTGAGCCATGGTTCTCTGCAAACATCGAGATGGGCCAGGCTGTGGGACTCGCGGCTGAACATGCTAAAACATGGTGCGTAGCGTTTAAACGCTTTGCATGGACCTTTCAGCGATGAAACAACAAACCAGGCAAAGCACTTCCAAGCAACAGCCACACCGTGATGTTATGCAGCATTATTGCAATCTTCGCAATATTCCGGATTTCATTAATCCTACACGATCATGATCAAAAGAAATTCCACGTCTTGATTCGCTCGCTCCTTTGACCCCAAGATCGCAAGTCCCAATGCTCCAAACAGTCAAGCTCCGCACCCGTACCCAAACCCTCACGCATCGTCGCGCTGATATGCTCTGCTCCCACTTCTGACATCAAAGCCTAAAGCTCACCTCCCTCTAGACGCACTGTCTTTCCTGTGCCGCACCAACACCACGTGGCTAGGGGCTTCGATCACACGGGTCTTCTGCGTTACCGCTCACATCTGGGGGGCTTATGGGTTGTCAGGGATTTTGCTTTGGGGGGGTTGCGGCTTGAAGAGCTTCAGAGATTTACGGCGAAACCATTGCACTTTGAAGCACACCTCCACTGATGAGTTAACGCTTAGCGACATCACTGCCAAGTTGATTTCAGCATACCTGCATGTCGGAAAAATCCTCGAACTCAACGTCGATCTAAGTGCTGCTTTGTTGAGTGGCTTCATCAGATGACCCGACAGCAACCTGTACAGTGGGTGAGGCCCCCCTTCGGGTCGGTCCTTACCTCTCAGCTGCTGCTGCTGCAGAGGGGGTGTCGAGCTAAGTCGACAGAAGGTTGTTGAAAGAACGCCGAATCCAAAGTTCTTTGCTTGAGGATCAAAGTTGTATTTCGGGTTGATGATTTTGAGCTGTATGTGATGGGGCATACTCTTGGCCTCTGTGTCCTGTGTAGATTGTTTCCGGCTGGAACTCGGCAATACACGGCAACGTGTAGGACTCAGTGCTACACAGAGTGCTCTGTTAGCTGACCCCTTGGGAGGGAGTTCTGTCATCTACAGCACGGTGGTCAAGTACCAGGAGGCTGGAGGACTTCGGATGCAAGAGCTTCCAGCTTAAAGCTATCTTGCTCATCCTGAACCTTAGCCTGACTGAGGAAGCCCCAAACGTAGTGTAAGGCATCATAGCAAACTTCAACTCAAAACCTCTTCCTCACAAAAGAGATTGCCGTTTGCTCAGCGTTTTGCATAAATGCAGAGAGTTTAACATCGGCGCTCAGCACAGGGAAGCTGGCTCTTAGCCGTGGCGCATCTCACTTTTTCCAGCGCCTGCACTTAGGGATGTGGAGTGACTGACATGCATACTCTCACAGAAACCGAATACCTACGTGCACGTACACATACGTGCACATCCAATCGAAGATCAGCGGCAAGTGAAAGTGGAAGTCAAAGAATCATTCGAGCTTGAACCAGAGCACTGAACCGCTCCAATTCCAACTGAATGGCTTCTGGTTTCGATCAGTATGTGCAGCCCATCACGGCAAATATCGAGCTGCACTGGCACTGTTTTCGTTGTGCCATGCCTGCGCAAGACGTCCTGTAGTAACATCTTGGTCCAGGTACATACAAAGAGCGCTGTAAAAGTGCGAGGACGTGGCGATGCGCTATTGACAGGAGCCTTGGCTTAACGTTGGCGAATGTGGTGCATGACAGCGGTGAAACCAAGTTTCCCTGTGAAATGTCCCAACAGAAGAGGACGGAACACCTTTGCGCACACTCTTTGCAACTGTCAGCCCCTGCGGGCGGGATCAGCAAGTAAAGCAGCAACACTGCAAACAAACAACTGCCCAAACTAGCACCGAAGGTCAGTCTTGCTGAGTGGACGACGATCAGCCGCTTGCAAATGAATGAATGTGACCCTCACTACGCCAAGGCACCGTGTCACTGGACAGGAAACTGTGAAGCTTGGATGACGTGTGGATGCGCGCCTGGATTTGTCGTGCCCTTTCGAGGAGCGACAGCATGGGCCTCACTTTGCAATCTTCCCTCTGTTCTTGGCAAGCAAGGCCCTAAACCGTTACTTCCACTGTTGCATGAACGACTCGGACATTCCAGACTCAGCCATTCCACTACTAGTTAGCTGTGCCGCAAGCCCAATATGTCGTGGCAAGAATAATAGTTACCCCTGATTTGTCTATGCAAACACAAGCAACTCTACGAATCAAAACGAGCAACTTGTGCAAGTGCCATGACAAACAACAAACCAACTCAGCAAATTCCGGGAACTTAGTACACCGCAGCACCACCGCACAATGATACACCACAGTGCGATGTTATCAAGTATGCTTTGGAAGGCACTGAATTGGCGGAGGCACAGGCACTCTTGTATCCACCCGCAGCTGAGCATGCTGTAAACTAGCAAACCTAGAGAAGCCCGAGGCAATCGAGAGCCCGGCAACTACCGGACTCGAACTGGGACTTCAGCATCCAAGGCTTCTGCTCCTGGGCTTGTTGAGGGAAACTTTGAACGGATTCAGCACATGTGCTTCTCTCAAAAGTACCAGTCATCTAAACCCCAATATCTAAGCTTTCTTCAAGGGCTTTAAGCTTTGATGCAGGAGGCTCAGCAGTGTCTAGGTGCCACCAGGTTTCAAGCCACGCCCAATACGCAAGTTTTGAATCTTATATTCTGCATCATCTGAGAGGTTGATCAAGCTCACAGCACTTCACCTCGCCTGCAACCCCGACAGCAAAACTTGTGATGGCAAACCTCTGTACTTCAGGGAACCTTGCCGAGCACAGGATCTGGAAAAATGCCGAGGCCTGCGAAGCTGCAGAAAAAACTTCGCAATCTGTCCGCATGCCCGAGACCGACACACCCCCTTAAAGACTCTGCTGCTTTGGCTTCGGACAAGTTGCCCACTTGATCTGCTGCTCTTTTCGTGCCCATTCGGCGAGGCAGCCCTGTGGCTCAAAGGGACAGCTGGGGCTTGCGGCCTTGAAGCAGTCTGAAGATTGGCTATGCGATTAGGGGTCGTTTCAGTTTTGTTTCGTGGAAACCAAGGAAGCAGCACATTGAGATATTCCAAGCTTCAACCGTATTTGAGGGTTGTCTCCATGGCTATGCATGCTGCTGCAAAGGTTCCGGGCATGTGAGATTGCATTCCAGGCTGCCGTGATTCTTTGTGTCTGCAACGTGTTAGTAGATGTTTTTGGGCCATGGACTCCCTTGAAGGTCAGTGCTTTCCGGTGAAGTCTGC